AGGGGCTATACCAGGATCCGGCGGCACACACAAGTAGCGTCACCCTCAGCACTAACAGACAATTACATACATAGCAGCAAGAATTGCCTCATAGCAAGATCAAAGATAGGTTACATCACGCCTAAGCAAGTCTGCCCAGTTGGGGAAACTCCAGAAGCATCATGAAACTTGGCGCGCCAGGCGTGCTAAGCCGAGCGAAGCAGCGCTGCTCAGGTGAAAAACTTGTGCACTAGCGACCACGCGGGGACCTGTGCGGATGATATAGGGGCAGCGACCAGGACCCCCAGAACCCCACGCCCAGCATACCAGTCAAGAAGTTGCTGGGAAGTGGGGGTCTGGAAACTGACGCTGATGCTGCTGCTGCTGCTGCTGTTGCTGTTGGGGCGGCTGCTGCTGGGCCCTGACCACCCACGCCCCACCACCGCTTCCCTCCTCCCCCACCGCCGCTGCTGCCCCCTCCACCGCTCCCAGTGCCTCCGCCGCCCCCACCACCACCTCCACCGCCTCCACCCCCCACGACCACCCCCACCACCTCCAACCTGTTATAGTCACAATAGGCTTGAATGTGCCTAAAACGAAAGATAGAGAGCACAGACGGATTTCTGCACAGCGGCTTCAAACGTTGATAGCGTTCTGCTCACAGCTGCAAATGACTTGATTCAAATTGGATCTGGAGCGTTTTCACGTCGTCTACAATTAGCAATTTAGATTGCACGATTTGATAAAGATTTGACGACACAGCGTCGGTTTGAACGAACGGTACTATGGCAGCCACTATAGTCTTAGAACACAAGATAGGAAGAGTTACGAGTTGGGAATGACTCCCAGCTCCTACAAACCCCAAGAGCCGAGGTACAGTGATGTGGAACAGTGCCACACTGTCCCCAACCACGAAGGGTCTCGAAACTACCCTTCACTAGGGCCTACACCAAGTGAAATTTACACTACACAAAGTAATGTAACTATCTTCAATATCTTGAGGTGTTACCCTTTGGCAAGCTTCGAAATCACTTGAGGCTTGACACCAAGGCTCGGGCTCTTCATCACAAACTCATCCTTGAGTTCTTGATGGGTCTGCTGCACACACCTGCGACACGCCGAACGTTCGACACAGGACAAAATAGAAACCGCGCGCACGACAAATAGAAACCGCGCGCGAGACACAAACGACCGCGTAACACGCGTCTAGCGATAACTCGCTATTGACTCGACACACACACTCGACATCATGACTCAACATTCACACACAATTATAAGCATGAAATATATATTATCCATGCCCTCATACCATTCCATACACACACACATTCACGCACACGGACAACAAGCCGAGTGCAAACCGTAGGGTTTGCACCAACAAACTCCCCCTCGGATTGTTGACCTTAGGATATGTTGCTCTCTCAGTTCAGAGCCATCCCAGCCAGCTTGCAACACTTCCAATGCTGCTGCTCCACCAGCCTCTTGGTCATCATGTCAGCGGCTGCCCCGTGGTCTTCACGTAGCGCAACTCAACTTCACCCGCGGTTACCATGCTCCTCGTCCAATGCCACTTCACCTCTCATGTGCTTCGTGAGTCCATGCAACACAGGGTTCTTAGCAAGAGCAATGGCACCCTGGCTGTCACAGTACAGTGGGGTGTAGGTCCTTGCTGCTCCTCCCCCAATTCAGCCAACAAACGCCGCTGCCACACAATCTCCCGTACGGCACGGAAGAGTGCCATGTACTCGGACTCCACCGAGCTCAAAGCTTGGTCAACCTGCTTCTTGCTCTCCCAAGCAGTTGGGCCTCCACCAACACAGCATATGAAGCCTCCCACACTTGTCATGTCCTCTGGTTCTGATGCATATGAAGCATCCGAGTAGGGGTGAGGAACAAACGCCCGGGTTCAACACCATCCGCGCCCTTTTGGCGCCTTTGTGCCGCCGCCGAGTATTGCAGCCCGCACGGTCGGTGTTTGGCCAAGATACTTGGCCACCTCATTCCAGCTGCTACCTGCTCCTCATTAGGGCATTGCACAACCCTAGCCAGCTGCCCGGTAGCAAAACGCGACGTCCGGTCGGGTGTTTACCGCCGCATACATGAGGCTGCCCACCAACGAGTGAAATCGGCGCCTCCTCCTCTCACCAAACGCTCTCCTCCTCTGGTCCCTTCACACACTTGAACCCAGAGGGAAAGGTGTAGCCACATGGCCTTCACTCTGCCCAAAGTTGGCAGCCAATGCCTCCAGGTACTTTCGTTGATGCACCCGCATGCACCGCTTCTCCACATCTCGTTCGATGTGGAGCCCAAGGTAGAAGCTCACGTCACCAAGGGCCTTGCACTTGAACTTGTCTTGAAGCTTCAGCATCACCTCCTTCACAAGGTCAGAAGAGGGTGAGAAAATGAGGATTCATCCACATAAACCACCATGAAACTCCTCTGCTCCCCCTCGCCAAGCATGAACAAGGAGTGATCGGCCGTTGAGGGAGTGAAGCCGATCCCCTCCAACACTTCGCGCAGCTTCATGTACCATTGCCTAGGGGCCTGCTTCAGCCCATAGAGGGCCTTCTTCAGCTTCCACACTCTGCCACTACCATCATCAAACCCCTCTGGCTGCGCCATAAAAATCTCCTCCTCAAGGATGCCGTTAAGGAATGCCGTTACGATGTCCATTTGCTTTACTACCCATCCTTTGATGGCGGCTCCCCGCGAATAGGGTTCGCAGCGTCGTCGGCTTCACCACAGGGGCAAACAGCTCCTTGAAGTCCACCTTCTCCTTCTGCTGGTACCCCTTGGCTACAAGCCTAGACTTGTAGCGCTCGATCTTGCCGTCGGCATCCGACTTTATTTTGAAGAGCCACTTGGACGTTATCGCCGTACGCCCCTCCGGTAGCTCCACCAATTCAAACGTGTCATTCTCCTCAATGCTCTTCAGCTCACTCTCCATGGCCTTCTTCCACTCCTCAGCATCACTACTCTCCAAAGCCTCCTTGAGAGTTGCTGGTTCTCCCGGCATCTCCACCGGAGAGAAGAACGCGAAGGCACACTCCTCGTAGTCACTCTCCTCGTCGTCTCCGACCATCATTGCCGCTCCGGCCAGGGCTTGTCTTGCCCTGCTTTCCCGGCGCATCATAGGTCAGCCTATTTAGGGGGTTGAACTCTCCCTCTTCCCCCTTCCTTCCTCCTCAGCTGCAGGGACTTGAAGGCCTTGGCGTTGCTGCGGTGTGGCTCGAATCCGTGGAGCACTCGTAGTACGGGAAGGGAGTGACGGTGCACTGCTCGCTCACTTGCTGCACCTCCTCCTCTTCTTCCTCTGCATCATTGGCCTCCTCTCCCCCATTCACAAGGGAGGATTGCCTTGTGGTTGTGCTGCCGCTGCTCAGCTCCAAAGGCAGCTCCACATGCTCCAAACCGGAACTCTTCACCTCCCCAACCGCACGCCTATCTTTGCCTCATTCTCCGCCTTCCAATCCTTGTACATGAAGTTCTCCATGAACTTGCAGTCCCTGCTCACCAAGAACTTCTTGGTGAATGGGTCCCCAAAGAAGCCATCCCTTGCTGTTTTGAGCCATGCCCAAGTGCACGGCCCCACACCGCCTTGGCACCAAGCTTGTTGTGCCGAAGATGCTTAGGCACGAGCGCCATGCACATGCACCCGAACACCCGAAGCATATCCACCTTTGGCTTCCTTCCTAGCCACTCCACATAGGGCACCCATTTGTCTGCTCCCACATGAGTCAAGGCTCTGTTCTTGGCCACACACGCGCTCCGCACCGCATCAGGCCAGAAATAGTCGGGTAGCCCAGCTTCAATGAGCAACCAGCGTGCCGCCCTCCGTGATTGTGCGGTTTCGCTCGCTCGGCGATGCCGTTCACTTGCAGGGGAGTATGGGCATGGTGACGGGAGTGCCGAATACCATTCTTCTTCAGCCACAACCCAAACTCCTTGCTCAGGAACTCTCCCCCTCGATCGGTGCGGATTGACCTTGACTAGACGGTCTTGTTGCCGCTCCACCATCGGGAACCATTCCGTCTTCAACGTTTGCAGCACGTCGCTCTTCTTCGGCCAGCACGTACACCCAAGTCATGCGGGTGTAGACGTCGACAATGGTGACGAAAATACTCAGCTCCAGCAGCTCCAAGCTTCAGGGGGCCCACCACGTCCATACCCCACCTCATCAAGCGGTGCCTTTGCCGTTGCCTCCGAACTAGGGAACGGAAACGCGGGTGAACTTGGCTTGAATGCACGTCGGGCAGCCAAGCACCTCATCAGGCTCCCCCTTCACACGTATGCCAGCAACCATCTCATTCTTTCACTAGCTGCTGCAAGATGGGCAGGGCCACATGCCCCATGCGCCGATGCAAGGTGAGCCAATCACACTCCCCCGTAAGCCGAAGTTGGATTGGAGAATGCCGCGCTCGCAATAGCGCCCCACCATACTCTCTTCCGTAGTCCTCCTCCGCTGCTGCCTTCTGGGTTTCTCCTCACCCTTTTGCTGCTCCTTGGTTGCTGCACCCACTCTCCTTAGGTTCACTGAACTTGCTGGTCCCTCCAGGTTTGCTCTTCTTGAGCTCATTCTCCTTAGCGCGACCGTTCGGCACCATCGTCGCTACCGACCGCTTCCATCCTTGGTGCTGATGCTTGCTGCCACTTGGCCTCTCCTTAGGCATAGGGACCACTGGGATCTGCCACATCTCGTTGTAGACATCCCTGTCCTCATGAAGGTCCCAAAGAATTCGATCGCCAAGCCTTGCGGTGTAGGTCTTGGCTCCCTTCGAGTTCGTGTCCATGACGGCCTTTGCCAACCGCCGCACGGAAATCAGGTTTGCAGCAAGGCTGGGCACCCAAATCACGTTCTTGAGGCCCACCATCTTCCCATCAGCACCCTTGAACATGGCCTTGCCCATGCCTTTCACCTCTGCTCGCTGCCCCAAAGCCGATGTGACATGCTTCACCGGTGACGGCTCGAGTTCGGTGAGCAAGTCCGGGCGAGGTGTCATGCTATAGGTAGCGCCACTATCAATCACCCAATAGTCCAGGGGGTGTAGGGTCACCTTCCCCATGTTATAGTCACAATAGGCTTGAATGTGGCCTAAAACGAAAGATAGAGAGCACAGACGGATTTCAGCACAGCGGCTTCAAACGTTGATAGCGTTCTGCTCACAGCTGCAAATGACCTGATTCAAATTGGATCTGGAGCGTCTTCACGTCGGTCTACAATTAGCAATTTAGATTGCACGATTTGATAAAAAATTGACGACACAGCGTCAGTTTGAACGAACGGTACTATGGCAGCCACTATAGTCTTAGAACACAAGATAGGAAGACTTACGAGTTGGGAATGACTCCCAGCTCCTACAAACCCCAAGAGCCGAGGTACAGTGATGTGGAACAGTGCCACACTGTCCCTAACCACGAAGGGTCTCGAAACTACCCTTCACTAGGGCCTACACCAAGTGAAATGTTACACTACACAAAGTAATGTAACTATCTTCAATATCTTGAGGTGTACCCTTTTGGCGAGCTTCGAAATCACTTGAGGCTTGACACCAAGGCTCGGGCTCTTCATCACAACTCATCCTTGAGTTCTTGATGAGTCTGCTGCACACACCTGCGACACGCCGAACGTTCGACACAGGACAAAATAGAAACCGCGCACGACAAAATAGAAACCGCGCGCGAGACACAAACGACCGCGTAACACGCGTCTAGCGATAACTCGCTATTGACTCGACACACACACTCGACATCATGACTCAACATTCACACACAATTATAAGCATGAAATATATATTATCCCATGCCCTCATACATTCCATACACACACACATTCACGCACACGGACAACAAGCCGAGTGCAAACCGTAGGGTTGCACCAACACCCCACAGCTGCTGGCTCCTCAAAGCCTTCATCCTTCTCTGGGCCAGCCGGTACTTGCGTCGACACGAAGTAGAATAGACCCGGGTATCGATCGTCGCTCGGGTCCTTGTCGTTGTCTACCGCTCTTCATGTTTGCAGCTCCGCCACCCGCGACCGCCACGGCCTCCACGGCCTCGTCCTCTCCCTCCTCCTGCTCCTCTACCCTCTTGGCCTTGAGCAGGGGTCCAACCATCAGGAAGTTTGTAGCAGTCGCGCCACATGTGTCCGCTCTTGTGGCAATAGTGACACTCGCCGTCGAATCGGCCGCGACCGCGTCCGTAGCTCTTGTCGTCGCTTGCCGTAACCGCCACTCCTGCGGCCTCCGCCGAAGTTGCTACCACCAAACCTTCCTCCCCCTCGTCCTCTGCCTCTTCCTCGACCATATCCACGGCCGATGCTCGCTGCCCCAGCGCCATCCGCACTCGCCAACTCACGGCGGCGGAAATCCTCTTGAAGGATAGCTCGCTTCACGTCTTCAAGCGAGAGGCGGGGCAAGTCGCGATTAAGGTTGATGATGAGCGAGGACCATGACTCTGGGAGTAAGGCCAGCAACTTGGTCTTCTTTTGGAGCTCACTGTAGTTCAAATCAGCTCCCTCAAGCCGCGTCAACAAGTCGAAGAATTTCTGCACCCCTTCTTCAACCGCTTCGTCTTCTTCAATTCGTAGTGCCGCCATTTGCCGTTCCAACACCACCGCTACCGCCGCTGTTGCAGGAGCATGTACACCCTTGAGAGCAGCCCATGCCTTTGGTCCTTTCTCTGGTTCACGCTGGAATGGCTTGATGTGACGGATCTGACTGCTCCCAACGCTTGCCCAAGTAAGAGATAGCCTTGTGCGCTCTTCCACACCCACGGCTCTTCTCCGGGTCGTTCTCGGGGCGCTTCTCCGTTCCTTCCATCACCTCCAGCAGGTCATAGTGGTCAAAGATGTTCTCCATCTTGAAGGACCATTCAGCAAAGTTGTCACCGTTGAACTTGTCAAGCCCAAACACCCTAGGCTCATCCCTAGGTGGGCCAAGACTTGGTTGCATGGGCGCCATGGCTGAATCACGGGGTTGGCCTTGAGCTTGAGCTTCTCCACTGCCACCAGCACCTCTGCCACCCCTTTCCTCAGGTCCAGACATTGTCGAAACTGCTCCAAGGGCCTCTGATACCACTTGTTATAGTCACAATAGGCTTGAATGTGCCTAAACGAAAGATAGAGAGCACAGACGGATTTCTGCACAGCGGCTTCAAACGTTGATAGCGTTCTGCTCATAGCTGCAAATGACTTGATTCAAATTGGATCTGGAGCGTTTTCACGTCGTCTACAATTAGCAATTTAGATTGCACGATTTGATAAAGATTTGACGACACAGCGTCGGTTTGAACGAACGGTACTATGGCAGCCACTATAGTCTTAGAACACAAGATAGGAAGAGTTACGAGTTGGAATGACTCCCAGCTCCTACAAACCCCAAGAGCCGAGGTACAGTGATGTGGAACAGTGCCACACTGTCCCCAACCACGAAGGGTCTCGAAACTACCCTTCACTAGGGCCTACACCAAGTGAAATGTTACACTACACAAAGTATGTAACTATCTTCAATATCTTGAGGTGTACCCTTTTGGCAAGCTTCGAAATCACTTGAGGCTTGACACCAAGGCTCGGGCTCTTCATCACAAACTCATCCTTGAGTTCTTGATGGGTCTGCTGCACACACCTGCGACACGCCGAACGTTCGACACAGGACAAAATAGAAACCGCGCACGACAAAATAGAAACCGCGCGCGAGACACAAACGACCGCGTAACACGCGTCTAGCGATAACTCGCTATTGACTCGACACACACACTCGACATCATGACTCAACATTCACACACAATTATAAGCATGAAATATATATTATCCCATGCCCTCATACCATTCCATACACACACACATTCACGCACACGGACAACAAGCCGAGTGCAAACCGTAGGGTTGCACCAACAAACTCCCCCTCGGATTGTTGACCTTAGGATATGTTGCTCTCTCAGTTCAGAGCCATCCCAGCCAGCTTGCAACACTTCCAATGCTGCTGCTCCACCAGCCTCTTGGTCATCATGTCAGCCGGCTGCCCCGTGGTCTTCACGTAGCGCAACTCAACTTCACCCGCGGTTACCATGCTCCTCGTCCAATGCCAC